GAAATATAGCTGATAGGCATCTTGACTAGTACATCTCGAATAGGCATATGTAGCAGTCGTGTAGCACTTTGACTCTTGGTCATTTATAGTAAAGACCCCATAAGCTTCTGTAGCTATGCATGTTATCGGCTTGTCCCTTGTCATCCAGCCGATGAAAACAACTTCTATCGGCAGTGTATCTGATAGTAAAAATAACTCCATTGGCTTCAACAAATTGTCAGCTTGATGTCTGATCACCACATAAACGAGGGCCCATGAAATTAATGATGAGCCGATGGAGGTAGGGAACTTCTGATGACGCACTTCATTGACGGACCATGTCCAACCACGGTAAGCATGCAGATGTATCTTCTATAATCATCTTGCCTCCTTTTTCTCTTATACTTCATAAAATTCAAAAGTCCTTGCCGATCAGCTTCCCCGTCGTCCTCATCGGCCGAATACTTGGTTCTGGTTAAGAAGCTGTTTCCAGTGAATCGACATCTGGAGCCTTTGCTATCATACAAGATAAAATAAAATATTCTGGCCAGACTGCTGATGACACCATGTTCTACTCCAAGTATCTTAATTCTGAAATAGCCACCACCAGTTCAAGATTTAGGCAACAGCAGAGCTGGCCATTATCCTGTTTCCTAGATCATGTGGCCTCTTGAATTTGCACAGCTTATCTCTATATAAATTAGCTCCACGAAGAATATGCTTGGTCATACGACGGATGATAATAGCCGATGGAGGAAAACTCAATCTGATCCCAACACAACCAACGGCTTGATGTGTTGAGTGATTTGACACCTGCACGTACGACTTTTGTAGACGCCTGCATGTACAGCTTCCAACCTTGCTTCCTTCGGCTAAAAGTAACCTAAGTCAGGAACAAAAGGCCGAATTCTATCACACGGATGTACCTGATCTCCATGTGCTTTCTAACATCACAGGACGTGCTAGCATGCATATGCGTTCTTTATCTCGCTAATCAATACAGCATGCATGTTGCCCTCGTAGTATATCCTTGTTTAGCCGATGCAATATTCTTTGAGTGGTGGAGTACAGCGGCATTAGCTTTTGATCTTCTTGATTTTATCACTTGGCGTGTCAGCCTGTTGCCACACGCCACAACGAGCACCATGCAGATGGCACGCATTCGTACACAGGATCGGCTTGCAAGTCTAAGATGCGGTGGCGAAATCTTGTCAGCGATGAAAAGGTTGCACATGAATTAACTGCTGATCAGCTGAATTCTGATCTCATAGATACTGATTGATTTGGCTGACTCCTGATTAAACGACTGTGGTCCCACCAGGCGTGCCAGAACGCGTGTCGGCGAAAAAACATGGTAGCCGCGCCGGGTGGACACGCAGCAAGCCAGAACGATCTGGGGATCTGCCTGGCTTCAACGCAGGAGCGGTCGATCCTGCGAATTTCCAAGGACGTGCCAGTCAATTTGACATGCTATTGACAAGGGGAGAAAGTTTATGACTAATTTAGGGTGGAACATGCTGGTTTTGCCCATACAGTTCCAAGTGCGCCGCTTCGGGAGCAGACAGACGGGAAAATCGACTAAAACAGCCGATACGAGAAGAAATCGACTGTTAAGGACTGTAAAGCTCGCGGGTCATGATTGATTTTATAATAACGAATACAATGCACCTAGATATAAGTAATATCATCGGCTAGGTGGATATAACCAGTGTAAAGCATTGAGCCGATAAGTTTAACGAGAGAAGATATAGCATGCGAACAAATCGACTATCTAGTACAAATGAATCTACAAATGATCTGAATCTAATCTGTCGCCATCAACAGTGAGGTTCGACCGGATCGATACAGCTACGATGATGATAACAAACTAAAGCCAAAAAATCCATAAAACTATCTATATGTTGATAGGTTCATGAAAAACATGCTACATATATGAAAGCACAGGCGAATCGGCTAAAATAGCCGATTCGGGTAGAAAAGGGATTACAACATGTGAACAATCGACTATTTAATATGGGCAGATCTATAAACTCATCAGATCTGACCTATTATCCTTAATGGTGTGGTTCGACCGGATCGATGGCAGCCGTGATAAAAGACAACAGATCGAACCTTTTAAAGTAAACAGATCTATTCACATTTAACAGAATCATGAAGACACACTGTAAGCGTTAAGGTACGGGCGATCGGCTATTTAGCCGATGCAGGCATAGCAAACAGCTAGGGTCACGTCTGGTCAAAAGTAAATCTACCAACTAGCATACTCCGATTTAAAGTGCTAACAGTGGGGATCGATCGGATCGTTACAGCCATAATAGCGAGCTATAGACCAGATTCAACTAGCTAGTAAACCTTCTCAAGATCAGTCATGCATTTGCCGCGTACTATGCACGATCAAGATCGAAGTAGAACAGCCGATAAAACATAATCCGTCATTTAGAGTAAGAACCATCGCAATGTGACAGAATAAATGATGGACTACAAGGATGTGAGGGCGATCTAGATCGATCTCGATCGGGCAGGTTGATATTGCTGAAACTAATGGCAACAAGAACATCAGCAAGATCGGTGACTTAATGAATCTACCCGAAGGATACCACCCTTAGGCAGAGCCGATAACTTGACTTTAATCTAATTCGAACAGTGGAGGTCGAACTTAACCGATGCAGCCGTAATTGAACTAGATAAGGGTCGATAACTAACTTATACTAGAGCTCATAAGAGGTCGGCCGAACCGATGCAGCCTTACGAATAAAAGTATAAGCCATGATGGTACTTACAGACAAGCCGGAGGTTGACCAGATCGATGCAACCCTGCTTGTTGAAGAACTCGCCGAGATCTACAGTACTCCTACTCCTAAAAGTTAGCGTGAAGCCGAAAGAAAAGTAATTGGTCCTGATTGATTGTATATCTTACAAGCTGCTATGACCCTTTATTATTTATAGGGCTGCCGGACTTTGCGTATAAGAATTTGACTTTTTTATATGTACACAAAGATTTCCTAATTAATCTGGCCATACGTAGCCCAACTCCATTACGTCTCCTATTTTTGCCTGTCCCAGGCCAAACCATGCACTGACCTGGTAACCACGCCAACGCATGTGTTTCTTTCCTATTTCCTTTTCTTTCCCTGAACCACGACGCGTGGATTGGAGTCCGAGGTCCAGTCAATCCCTGCATATATTGCACTCTGCCAAAAACCGACCGTCACATCATCCATCTACAGCACCGGCTGCAATGTCCTAGATCGACGAGGTTCCTCCATAATAGTATTTCATATGGCGATAGTTGCAAGGTATATAGGACATGCATGCCATGTATATGTACGTATATTAATTCAACCATCTTGCTTGCTTGCTTGTTCCCAGCCATACGTATGCCAATTTCCAATGATAATTAAATCGGTATGCTTTCCTTTTAGATATCAATATATTGCTTCTGGACCAATTCGTATTGGAGATAGCCCGTATAACGTGATACATATGGAGTCCGGCTGGCTTCCTTTAATTTTCTTCATGTATATGCAAATTAACTCATGCTCTCAGCTGTCTCTTATCCTCACATCAAGAGATCTTGGACATCATGTTTCTCTCAAAATATTTTAAAGAATATTCCTCGGCCGGTTCGTAAATATACATCAATTAGGAGATCTTTCTTGCATTCGACATCATCGGCCGATCTCTTTCTTTACAGGGAAAGCTTACCAAATTTTGGTATAAACAGCCGCCAAATTCAGCCAGGACTAAAATTTATAAAGACAAGAAGGCCCACCAGATAAATACCACTGGAAGTTAAAACAAAAAGATAAATATTATTGGGTAGATAAGAAACCACAGCTTAACTTCTCCAGACTGATGACACTTCCAAAACATCTTCATGTACAATTAAGCACAACATAACATGTCCTAATAACACTTGACTCTGTTAAAATCACGGAACCATACAATCAGAAACAAATTAAGGTGCTTTAAATTTACCAGCCGCACACGTGGCAACTGAATGAAATGTCAAACCACACTACCACAGGCTAATTGGAAGCGAGGACTGGATAACCAAGCGTGCACGGCAGCATCGTGGCGAGGGCCTAATTTTGCTTGTTAGCCTTTTTGACAGTGGCTTGCCATCCTTGAGTTATTGGTAACTATCCCCTCCATTCATATGTACTTGCTCGTTGTCGTTGATATGCTTTTGTTGGGTTACTTTGATTAGTTCTGGGAACCTAGAACAAGATCACTTTTACTGAAATAACTCGCATTGTAAGCTTCATTGTAGACTTGCTTTCCCAAATGTATGAACTGACTCCTGCTGGTGCAACAACCTCCAAAGCTTTGAGGAAAAGTACAACATTGAAACAGTGACAAAGAAGCAGACACTTTAGTCTAAACTCTAAACATGTCTTAAAATCAGAAGACTTCATCACAAGACTAAGGACCAGGTCTTCTTGAACTCCTCAAGAGTACAAAAACAAAAACGGAATTTCTTCAGCAAACAAATAAGGCAACGTATCAAGTGCAAACCAACCTCTCCGTGCAAACCAACTGCGGGGGAGAGGTGGGAGGGGGATTTTGCAAAAGTGTGATTAGGAGCGGACGTAATTACACTTTTGCAAATCCCCCCTCCCACCTCTCCCCCGCAGTTGGTTTGCACGGTTTGCACGGAGAGATTGGTTTGCACTAGATATGTTCCCAACAAATAAAGGCTATTGCTCTAAAAACAAATAAAGCCAAAGGATGCAGATACAATGATAGGCCTTATTGCATGGACTCCCCTCATTCATACTTAACAAAAGTTCAGACTTGCAGCATCACAATACTAAAATTTACAATGATAAGATCTATCATATACATACTACAGGGTAGATAAGAAACCATAGCTTAGCTTCTCCAGAATGATGACACTTCCAAATCACCTGAGCGCAACATAACACGTCCTACTTAAGATAAAGAACCTGTTTTCCTCCTTTGGTCATCTTCAGGTTGAGTTCCATCTTAATGCCAGTCCTTCCAATCTGAAATAACACTCAGGAAATTATATTTTCCGTGACAGTGTCAGTCTTAGCTGCCTTGCTCAACATTTCTCTGAAAAGAGTCAATACATCCTCTATCCTACCATCTTCACAGTAGCTATCAATCAAAGTGTTACAGGTAGCAACATCGGGTTTCAAGCCCATAGAAAGCATGCCATCAAGTAAAGTATTAAAGGTAACAGCATTGGGTTTCAAGCCAACCGAGAGCATATCATCAAGGAGCTTCAGCACTTCATCCAGTTTACCGGCCAAGAAATATCCATGAATCATTGTAGTGTAGGAAACCACATTAGGTTTTACACTGGCAATTGGCATCAAATCAAAGAGTTTTTGGGCCTCCGTAACCTTTCCTTCTTTGAATAGCTTGTCTATCATTGCATTGAAGACAACGGCAGTTGGACGAATGCCTCTATCCATCATCTCATAAAATAGTTCCTCAGCCTTCTCCCATTTGCCGTGCATAGAAAAACCATGAATTAGAGTACTATATATTATGATGTTGGGAGACAATCCATCATCAGTCATCTGGCAGAAATGTGATATTGCATTGTCCAGCCGGCCTATCCTGCAAAGACCATCTATTATCGTCCCATAGCTGACTATGTCTGGTGTCAATCCTTGCTGCCGCATTTTGTTAAAAGTAAGCATTGCCTCATCTAACCTTCCGCATTTACAGTATGCATGGATCTGTATGTTGAAGGTATGATGATCAGGTTGCATTCCATTTTGTACCATCAAATCTAAAAGATTATTCATTTCAACAAGATCTCCTTCGGTAGCATACCCATGAAGCAGACTTCTATAGGTGAAAACATTGGGTTTTTCACCGCTCTGAATCATAGAATTAAAGATCTCTCTAGCTTCTGCGAGCAATCCAGATTTACAAAGACAGTCTATCAGCATAGTGTAAGTAACAACATCTGGTCGTTGCCCATCTCCGGACATTTCTTTGAGAATTCTGACTGCCTCTTTCCACTGTCCAAGAGAGAGGTATCCGTGGAGAATACTGTTATATGTGGTACAATTAGGCATAATATGTTCGTCAATCATCTGCCGAAGGACCTCCTCAGCCTTGTCCATTGCTTGAACCTTGCATAGACCATCAATGATTGAGCTGTAGGTCACAACATCTGGAGGGATCCCATGATCAAGCATTTCACGAAACAGGGTGTAAGCTTTCCGTATCTCACCCTCTTTAAAGAAGCCATCGATTACAGTGGTATAGGACACTGCATTAGGTGGGCAGTTGTCATCCTCAGCCATCATGTGGATAAGTTCGACAGCCTCTTCACATTTCTTCTCATCACATAGCCCTTTGAGAAGTGTGGTGTAGGAGAAGACATCGGGGGTGCAGCCGAGCTCAGGCATCCGCCTGACCACAATATTCACCGCATCACTCGTCCTCTTCTCAGCACAGAGGGTCCTGAGCAGGGGCGTGAAGATGACGGCATCTGCCCTCAGCCCCGTCTTAAAGATTTGGCCCAATGCAGCGAAGCCGAGGTTCAAGCAGCCCGCACCGCAACAGCAACTGATGAGGATGGTGTAGGTAGCTATGTCTGGAGCCACCTTCTTGACCATGCGGTTGAACAGGGACACAGCGAGCGCAGGGCCTTCGAGCACGGTGGAGGAGACCGGGGCGCGAGCGACGGTGGTGAGCAGCTGGTTGAGGGCGTAAATGGAGCCGGGCCTCGCTCGGTGAAGCAATTCATCGAACAGATCGAGTGCGTCCTCGGGGCCGAGGTCCCCCGAGCGGAAACACTCTCCGATAAAGCGCTCCAGCTCCCAGAAAGGGCGGCGGTCGGCCCTCCACACGTCCGCCGCTGCGGAAACGGCCGGCTGTGGGGAACACCTTTGGATCGATGGGAGCACCTCGTCGCAGAGTAGGCTCGCGGCCTCAGGGGTGAGACTTCCCGAGCGGAGGTGCCGTCCAATGATCCGCTTCAGCTTCTTCAAACAAGGCGGGCGCGTCCGGCTCGACATGGTCGGCGCTGGCGGTTGGATCCACGCCTCGCGCCTCCGATTCCCCTCCGGTTCGGTGGCAAATGCAGCTCGCTCTTGGGATGGTCCGCACAGCGCGGCGGTGGCGGTTTGCTGGTGTGAGAATGGGGAACGAATCGAAATTAGTTGGAAGCGGTGGCGGCGGCGGCGGGCGGCGGCGTCGAGGATTCGGTGGTGTACTCGCGGTGGCGGCTGGGCTCTGGTGGCTGCCTTCGCGTGCTTGGGGGAGTACTGATCACGTGCCTGGGAGTGGGCCACCAGGTTGGCATGTTTTCTTTGGGCTTCAACGTTTGACCAAGTAAATCTGGAGTTTTTTTTTTCTTCAAGGAAAATAGAAAATTAATTTGAGCGCCAGACAATTTGAGGCGTTATGTACAGAGTGGCAACCGAGGAAATACTGATTTGAGGATCTAAAATGTCAACAACAAACTCAAAAAGTCAAAATGAACCGGAAAAGAAAGAGAGAGAAGTCGACCATGAATGGTATATTTGAGTTTAATTTCTGTTAATACTTTATAGAATAATGTTTTCTTTTTTTTAAAAGGTTATAGAATAATGTTGAATTTATTACCACAAATTCCTCTCATGTTGATGTTGATCTCGTGCTCATATCATACAAATGAAGCTTGTCGTCTCATTTTTATGATCAGTTCAAAATAGTAATCAACCACGTGCAGTGAGAATAATAATAGTTTTTAAACTAAGTGAATTGTATTAATAGAAAGGAAGGTCCAAACTAGATCAACAACAACCCAGAAAAGAGTTTCTCTTCTCTCTCGCAACTAAAAAGACTAAAAGAAAGACACTGTTTTAGTGCGACAGAAACTTCGCCTCACCATCGCTTCACCCCGTGCGATCCCGCTTCACCCTATGACAAATTTAGAAGCCGCGCGATCCCACCTCACCCGGCGACATACTAGGAAACCGCGCGATCACGCCTCACCCCTGCGACAAATTTGGAAGCCGGAAGCTGGGCCTTCTTCACTGCGAACGCCCTCGCGATACCTCACCGCCTCCTGCAATCGTGCCAATCCCTCGCGAGACGTGCAGGCCGGCAGCGGAATCCCGGCGCCTCCATCGTGGACGTGCAGTGGATACGGCGTTGTCCTTTCGCGCGCGACTTTGTCCATCGCGTCGAGTTTTGCCGCGGTTCTTTTCCATCATATCGATCTGGTTTGTCGTCGTCTTCCTAGTATGTACTCCATCGATCTGCTCCATCGATCTGGTCATGTGCTTCTTGCGCCGCAGTCACCGTTATGGCTTCGTACCGGCCGCCACCGCTCCTAGGTTTCCCATGGCTGCCGCCGCTAGGTTTCCCATGGCCGCCGCCGGTAGAACTGCGTTGGCCGTCTCTGGCCGTAGCCGGGCCTGGTTCGCGCCTACTGTCGTTGTGTGGATGCTGCCGCTGGATGCCTGCTGCCGCTGTGTGCGATGCCGCTGTGTGGATGCTGCCGCTGTTAGCTTGCTGCCGCTGTTAGCTTGCTGCCGCTGTGTGCTTGCTGCCGATGTGCGCTTGTTGCCGATGTGCGCTTGCTGCTGATGTGCGCTGCATGTTGACTCTGTTATTTTGAATGTTAACTGCATGTGCTTTCGTTTCTTTGGTTGTGTAATTCAGAGATAGGGCTATAAAAACATGTTTGTCTTATGGCATGAGAAATTGGTCGTGGATTTCCTCTTGTGACCATGTTCTGTGACTAATTGATTCATCCACAATGCTCCAATGACACACGAATTCTTGAATATACAGCATACATGAATTTAACTGGTTTCACAGGCTAAAACTGGGCATTCGTGATTTTAGTGATCCTGTCAAACCATCATATATGGTGAAAAACCAATTTATTCCTTGCTTTTGTTTAATCTTGCAAGAAAGCCTTGGCACATGTTCTCTGTAGGCACACACTTATGTCACTACATACTCCAATGACTTACTCAGGATGTTTCTGAAAGCCTATCAGTAACCTGTGTGGCTGCATGTGTTATTGTGTGAAGTCAAACCATATTTCATTTTGTCACTATTGTATACTTTATCTCAAGAACTGAAATCAATCTGTGCTGCAGCTTTTTCGAATCGGACACCAACAGTAAGGAGCTACAACGTCGACAGATCATTATTGTGAATCCAAAGGTGATCTCTGGTTTCAAATTCAAAATCACATATATCTTATCCCTGAATTTAATTACTTTTTAAGGAGCTCGTTCGAATTTGAAGCCTTAACTGATTCAGAGAACTGAGAAGTAGACTTACTTTTTAATCACTGTAGTTTTCAAAATGAGGTCTCAAACTACTTATGAAAAGTGAATGACATTAAGCATTGGGCTTCTGAATGGCTCAGTAGGACGCCTCTCCTTTGCATAATGTATATGCTAATCAGATTTCTAAAGCATCCCCTTCATGGATAGTTATAAGAAACAGGAAAGATCAATTACATGCGGATGTGATGCAACTTGTGGCATTATGCATATAACTAAAAGCATTCACATAAATATGCTTGGTAATTTATTGTTAATTGCTCCCAAAACACAAGCCGGTAGACTGTAAAGGTTTTTTTTTTTGCATTTTGAACTCCCTGATGAAGTTGCAGCATATGGATAAAAAAAAGCTTGTTTGCAAGCTTCTGAACTCAGAGTAGCTGGTACAATCTAAAGAGAAAATGCTTAATGCATGTTTCTGACCAAAAGAGCTACAAGTTTTTTTAATTAAAGAAGCTGAATATATAGGAGCAACCTTAGTGAGTCACTTTCTGAAATAAATTAGCATTCTGATAACTAACTAGGTGTCAGATCCCAATTTTTATTTAAACCATTGGTATTCTTCTCCGATCTGTAGCAAGTCATTCCATTTGCAGCTTGCAGGTCATCTCGCCAAGTAGAAGTGGCAGGAGAAAGTAGCAGCATCTCAACCATCCCATCAGTGACCAATCTCCAAGTAATCATTACTTGCCTGCATAGTTTTCTAGCATTAGCTTATTAATTCAGTGATCCTATGCTAGACCTGAAACTTGCATTGATTAACTTTCTCTTTCTCTGATAGAGTTTGACACTAACACTTGTTCCCTATTTCAGTTTTAGTGATTCAGTTTCAGTGATAGGTTTAGTATATAGGGTTTACTCCGTTGCTATTACAATTAGCACAACCTCAAGAGAATTTGTTGTTCCTGACATTAATATCTACCCAAGAGTGATTTCAGTTTGATAAAAAAATTTGCACTTTATTTTATTGCTTGTTTTGTTGTTTATGCTAGGGAGGAGGACAGGGCTGAGGTGAGAATACGACATCCAATTGGCCATTTAATTTTTTCTTTATCTAGAAACTTTGTATTAACCCAACAAAGTCACATGCAGTCATATGGTTGTCTTCTTATCATTTGCAAACCAGAATTGCCTTATTGACTCACAATCAATTGTCTTGTCAAAACACAAGATCAATCCATTCTAATATCACTATTTTTGCAATCTATAGGAACCAGAGTTTTCCTCTAACAAGTCTAAGCATCATAGAAGTTGTGAAGCTTTCCGATTGGTTGTTCATCTGTCCCAGGTAATCATAGACATGATTTGTTTGCGACTACTTTTTAGAATCTGTATGGCCCATATGCATTCAGAGTTTAGAATAGACAGTTAGCTAACTGAATGCTAAATAGTGGATACATCCATCATCACATACTAGCTGAATTTATCTGGTTGGTTGCCGAGAATACTAAAAGAATCAGATTGTTTGTTGCACGAGCAAATGAAACAGGCTTTATTATAGATCATCTTCTATAATAGAGAGAAAATTGTAAAAAAATATCAGAATGGATAGGAGTTTCAAAAACAGAGAAAATAATTATCAAGAAAGAAAAAAGAAATTAGCTTCTCACATGATGTGAAACACCTACTGGAAGTTGCTATCCTTTTCTGATGAGCACCCACCTTTTTGTTGCTCGTGCAGTTGTGCTTCTTCGTGACTTGCTCTTCAGTTGTCTTTCTTTCTGAGTTCTACCTGTCATAGCCGATAGCCTTCAAACATGCTTTCTCAATTCGACTTTTGCCAAAGTTATCCAGTGTACTACATGTTGTGAGAGATATGTGACAGGTAGTGTTGATGGACACACCAAGGCCAACCGGTGATCAGGTACCTTTGGGGGACCTTACAAATACAACACATGGATGTATATAAACTTATACAACATCTCTACATATCTATATTCATATGTTTGTAACTTCTCACCATAATTTATTGAAGGGAATCATACCCGACCAAGGTTGGTGCCACTAGATGGGGATCCTAATGGGCAAAAGAGGCAGAGGGAGAGAGAACGGTATGCAACAATGGCTGATGAAAAGAGTAGTGAAAGAAACAAGAAACGTCGTGAGAGGGATACAACAGATCAAACGGACGAAAATAGTGACTGGCTCCATATGCACTCAATCTACAGTAACGGCACCGAGCAACTATCAGGTTATTTATTCTGCTAATAAAAGTATTTATTGGTGTGGCGACTGCAATAATCGTGGTGACATAGTTTGCTTATTGTAAGGATCAATTTGTTTTGTATGGATTAATAACAATTTATTACGTTTAAACTTGTAGATGTGAGTACAACAAATGAAAGGGACGAAAATAGTGACCGGCTCCATAGGAACTCAACCTACTGTAATGGCTTGCAACAATTATCAGGTGACTTATTTTGTAAATCAAAGTATTGCTTGGTGAGGTGACTGTAAGTGACATAGTTTGGTTATGGAATGATTCAATTTGTATTGTATGTTTGTATTTGTAGACTATCCGGTACCTTTAAGCACCATTGGTGGCACTGGTGACGTGGATAACATTGACACTGAGGAAGATAACAATATTGTTCATGAAACGGGTATACTTTTGTATCCATTGCCTGAGATTCTGGTGAATCGTGCCTGTGTTTGTTTATTACAATTGTGCTTAGACACTATCCTAGTGTGCGTTGATTAAAGTGGCATTCCATGACATATACGTTCTG